AGTGGCGTGCCAACCAGGCTAGCCTGGGTTCTATCTCCCACGAGGGCTCTCTGCTCCACCCACAGCCAGCCTGGGTCAAAAGAGGGCAACTGGAGGAGGTGACCTGCTTCTGCACATAGGTGAATCTCTCACAGCATGGATCCTGCTGGAGATTTGAGATGGTCAATTCAAATTACAGGTCATTACAGGATACAATATTTATGTACAGGTTTGATCATCATCAAGTTACCTATTTTAAAAATTTATCTCCAGTAGTGTCCAAAAAATCCGTACAAAATAATGTGCAAAGATTGTTCAACAATCTTGCAAACATAATGATAAAAATTCTCCACATCATTCTTAGAGATATCTCTTAGAATCACTATGGGCATATTCATTCTCCAGCTCCCCGCCACCCCCACTGCAATTTAGACTCAGATCCTGTGAAGGAAATCTTTTTCATTCCTGAGCGGACCACTTTGAATGCTTGTCCTTTTCCTTGGGAATTAACATTGTAACTACTTGGGTTATCTTAGCTTAAAATATTAAATTTTCTGCTCTGAATAGAATTTTTTTATTGAAACATTTTGCTGTGAAGTTTTTGTTCTAAGTTTCCTTAATGACCTACTTCCTATGAAATCATTTATTCATGTTATCAGCCAGGCAATCAAAGCATTTATGAGTTAGACACTTGTCACCAGACACTTAGTCACCCAAAAGCACCACCTCCTCAACTTCAGTTGAGACCTTGCCGAAACACAGATTCTGATTTAGAAAATCAGGGTTGAGCCCCAAATGCTGCACTTCCAATAAGCTTCTTCCTTCATCAAGGACCACATAAATGGTTAAAAGAATTTAAAATACACAAATGATAATGCAAAAGAAACCCAGTATTAATTCAGTCTTCATAAGATAACAGAGCCAACTCTAAACATTGTCAGGTTTTTCAACTAAAGTTGGGGTTTTCTCCACATAGTGAACTAATTAGTGATAATTGTTGAAAGGCAATCTGCATCAAATTAACAAAAAAAATTTAGTTTTAAACTTCACATAATCATTATCTAATAACTAATAAAATAACACCCAATAAACATCTTCTTACACTTGACTACATGAAAAGATAAGGCTTATTTACCCCCATATATTCAGTTGCACTTCAATCAAATTTATTTGCAAAACAAGCTACAAACTTTGAAGAGTTTTTAAAACAATGAAGTCATACTTTCTTCCTAAAAATTATATAGAGTTATTAAGAAAGATGCTCCTGTTGGCATACTTGGCAAAATTATTGTATTTTTGGCATTGCTCTTTGAATGCACACATCCACTTGCTAGAAGTTTCACAAGTAAAGTTGTTCAACTTGAAGGTGAAGTCTGGCACACAAAATGCCAGAGGAGATAGGAGGGGATGGTTGAAGGGGTTCCTAACTCATTCACAGATCTTCATGTCTGGAGAAAATTCTCACTGGTATTTTACTACCTTAAAATGAGTGTTGAGTAAGGTACAGTCTTGTGTAGAGCTGCAGAAATAGAGCATCCCACTTTGCCCACTGAAGTTCGGTTTGACGAATGGTGCCTGTTTTTGAGCAACACTTTGTATTCTGCCTCACTGAAATCCACATTTCTTACACCTTTTATGTGTGTTATGGCTTGTATCTAGCTGTCCCCCCAAAGCCTCATGTGCTCATAGGTGAGGCTTTTTGGAGGTGGCTGGAATTAGGAGGTGTGATAACTATGTTGTTTTAGCATAGTGCTGGGTGTGGATAGTGGGAAGGCCTACCCTGAGCATGAGTAGCACATCTTCTAGCATGGATGAGATAAAAGGAAAAAGAGTGATTGCTACTTGCTGCTTCTTGCCTGCCATGGACTCCTCTGCGATGCCCCTCTGCTGTGTCACCCTGCCTTGGAGCCAGCTGATTATGGACTGAAACCTCTACAAACTGAGAGCTAAAATAAACCTTTTGTCTTTTAACTTGTGGGTGTCAGGTATTTTGTCCCAGCAATGAGAAAGTAACTAAGACAATGTGGAAAGGTAAAACTCAAGGGGATGGCAGCTAATATGTGTCTGAAATTAAAAATACCTTTAAATTTTAATATTTTTAAAGTTGCACAATGTTATAGATTGAAGTGCATATGTTAGAAGTTTCCTCAAAATACTTTCACATTGTCTTTGCACTGATTATATTGTTTTGCCATTTATTGTCTATGTCCTTGTTTCAAATGATATCTACAATTTTAATCACAACACCAAATTTGGAATTATATTTGGAACTATTATGAATAGAGGTGACACCTGAGTCAAAATATATGCTTTCTTTCCATTAATGCCTGCTTAGTGCATCAGCTTGTACCTTTAAGGCACACACCCTGTAAATATGCTTTTATTTATCAGCAAGCTCCATCTCTCCCTCTACCTCTCCTGCTCCCGCTCCCTCTGTCTCTTTCTCTGTCTCTGTCTCTGTCTCTGTCTCTCTCTTTCTCTCTGTCTCTCTCTGTGACAGAAGAAAAGGACTCCTCCAAGGCCAGATTTTCTCAATACACAGCCATGCTTGCCACCCCCCGCAAATGTTTAGCAAATTTGCCTAATGTGTGAGAACAATTTTAAAATATGCTAAAAATGATCCGCCCACATGTTTGTGCATTCATCCTGTGAGAGAAAAGTAGCCACACATTCTTAGCCAGCCTCTTCAATTTTCCTGTGAGAATTCCCTTGTGCTGTGGGCTCATTCAAAGCCAGCAGGATCACTTTACACAGTTTGTCATTGTACTCCAGGGAAGTTTATGGAAATGTTACAGAAATAAGCTACAAATGGGAACCTGGCCTTCTGCCAAACTGCATCGCTCTCTCTCCTGTTCTAACAGCATTTTCCCCTTCAGCGCTTCATGTGTTCTATATCGCGTATAACATTCATCTTATCAAAGACATTTAGAAATACAAACTATAGCAATTACACCCCAACTAATATTAATAACTGAGAATTCTGTCTTGCAGTAGTTATACTCCATAATGAGTGCTAGCATTAAATAATATTGTGCCAGGCATCTTTCTGTAAGCTTTATATAGACTGACTCATTTATTTATCACCGTAGCCTGCAAGGTGGATTCTGTCATAGTGCCCATTTAACAGATGAGGACATCAGGGCACGAAGAGGCACTGGGCCTCCCAGATACAGAAGTGGTGCTGAAGAGCCACTGGTGGTCTAGCAGTAGAGTCCTGGCTGTTCATCCTTTTCCTCCCCTCTCCCACCTGAATCCTTTCCGTGACAGCTCTGGACAACTTCTTAATTTTCACAATGAATTTGAATGAATAAAGAAGAACTATTAAAAAGGGGGAAGGTGGTAGATTTATTTACATTTAAATTAATTTTAAATTCTCTCAACTTGCTATCTAGATTCAATGCTAACAAATCCCCAACAAATTCACTGTAAATACCAGAAATCTGTTTTTAAAGTTTATAAGTTAAGACAAGGACCCAAAATAGTGAAAAAAATAGTCAAAAAATAATATAGTAGAAAGACTAACAGTACACCATTTCGAGTTGTTGTAAAGCAACAGTGATCAAGAGAGTGGGATATTAGAGAAATGACAGACAAACATATCCAAAGAATGGAAATGGATCCACATAAATATGGCCAGCTGCTCTGCAGTAAAGATAAAAAATGTAACACAATGAACAAATGATGCCGTAACACCCAGGTACCCTCTCCATGAAGCAGACCAACACATGGAAGGAGAGACCCAAAAAGGAGAGAAGAGGAGAATAAAAACCACTAGAAATAACGGTTGAAATCTTACACATCTAATGTAAAGTATTAGTATATAAATTTCCTCTCTTAAAATAAAAAGAGGCATATTAATTCCTAGACACATCAAAATTAAGCTGTAAAAAGTCAGAGAAACAATCTTACAAGCAGCAGAGAAAACATTTTCTTCATATGCCAGGGGACAGCAATGAGATGGAATGACTTGCTTTCAGAAACAGTGGTGAGGTGGCTTTCTTCAAAGAGGTTCATGCAAAAATAATTTCAGCCAAGAACACCATTTCTAGAAAAATCTATCTTTTAATAATGAGTAGTGAACATATTCAGACCAATACATTTGAGATAACTTGCTGCCAGCGGTGATACCTTACATTTTAATGGCAACTATTTGAAATGAAAGCATTTGAATGGCAAGAAATGTTCATTCTTAGCTTTACTGAAGAACTTACATGTACATATACACGTGTGTGTAAATCTCCCTGAATTTCTTCTACAGTTTATTTTTCATTGATTTCAGAAACAAAAAAACTAGACAAATATAATTTGAAAGTCTCTTTCTATTTTTATACTTGGTGACTGCTAATTTGTTTTTTTTGTTTGTTTGTTTGTTTGGTTTGGGTTTTTTGGTTTTTCTCCGGTACCGGGAACCAAACTCACGACCTTGCGCTTGCCAGGGAGGCGCTTTTGCCGCTGAGCTAAATCCCCAGCCCCCGGTGACTGCTAATTTGTAACAATGTATTCATTTAGTTGTTTCCTGGGAGGGGTTAAGACTCTACCTGAAGACTGGAAAATTAATTTAAAAATTATATAAAAATCATTCAAACTCACAATGCTAAATAAAAGAAGTTTCAGTTCTATCTGAGTTTACCCAATACAAGAGGGAAAGTTGGAACTGCAAAAAGAGTGGTTCCTGGCACTTTCGGGCCAGAGTGGTGATAATTTCTGTGAAATACCAAAATTCCAGAGACAACTCCACATTTAACATAACTATGAAAAAGATGTGGCTCAGGCAGAGATCTCCAGGGAAGCAGAAACGCCTGAGTTCAAGAGAAGACAGCCTGCTAGGCTGAGCAAGTGGAGCTAGAAGGAGGGATCTGGAAGTGTCCGTTAGGTGCCCCGGCCGTTGAGGCTGGAGGTGGGGGAGGGGCAGTGGCTGAGCCTCTTCGCCTGTTGCCCCTCCCCCACTCAGGAGCCCTTTGTGATGCGGAGACCAGAGCTCTGCGATTGGTCCCTGGGCCCCACTCCCTGGTTTCCAAGGAGGGACAGGGTTTATAAGAAGGGGGAAGACTTCAGGTTAGGGTGGTTTAGAATTAAAGCTCTCTAAAGGTAACAAGAGCTTTCTGAAGTTAGGGGAATAGCGGAGGAGTTGTGGCCTACCACTAATGCCTACCACTTCAGAGCTCAGTTGCCTTCAGGTAGCACTAGAGTTCAGATGATGATGAAATTTCTTTTTCTTTTGAAATATATTCATGATACATGGAAGAGCCCCAGCTCCACTACCTGGGCAACAGATACTAGTCTTGCGCTTGGGTATGGATTGGTGCACTTCGCCCTATTCATTTCACATTTTCGTGTTAATCAATCTACCCCAATAACTGGGAAAAAGAACAGCAGAGAGGTAAGGCACACTTGGTCATCCCAATAGCCAATGATTCTGTCTTTTTTCTACTCTTTATTTCCACCTTTCCAGATCAAATAGAGGAACTTATGAGGGGGAAATCTCAGGAAAGAACAGAACACTGTTCTTTTGGGACAGATCACAGGGCAGGGGTGAGTTTGGGGACTAGGACACCTGTCTGAGACGCTCAGACCTCATATGTGTGTGTGGGGAGGTGCCAGGGTAAAGTCAAATAGTGACTTGTGGCTGAGGAGTGGATTCTGGGGAGAGCTGAGGACCTCTGGGGAAGGACAGGCCCAGAGCACCAGTTCACCCGTTCCTGTCCCATGGCAGGTGCCTCTGGGCCTCACCTCTTCAGTGCTGATTTGATCTGAGCGGTGTGCTGAGCCGCTGAGGCCCTCCACCAAACACTGCAGTTGCCTCTGGCTTTAGGAAGGACAATCCTATCTGGCTGAGAGGCACAAGTAGATCTCAGCTTGTGTTTCTTGAGCAGAAGACCTGTGACTGAAGACATCCATTGGCAGATTTCACAGAGAAAGGCTGTTGTTATTTTCAAAGGCAAAAAACAAAATAATTTTAACCGCTTTAGAAATGAGCTGTTTGCGAAAGGTAGAAAGCCATACTACTCAGGAACTGGTCTGTAGAGTCTAGGGAAATGAATGTGGAAATGGGGCCAAAACCTCTTTTTTTCTTTTCTCTCAGCACCATAGGCAGAAGAGATGGGTCAAGAGCAAGAAGAGCTGTTCTCTGAAAGGTAAGGCTCTGTCCTTATACCCTAGAGATGAGTTGAGCTCACCTGTCCTGAGCTATCAGAGCTACATCTCTGAGGATGTAGGGAGGAGACGAGGAGGAGGGTGTTGACGGGGAGGTTCATGGGAAGGAAATTGGAACAGGGAACACTTCTCAGGCTGTGTGCTTGTGATGAAATTGTCACTGGCCAGGGAATTGGGGGATGTACAGCCAGAGCAGTGTAAGTGGCGATGGAACAACATTGCCTGGATTTTGAGGGGGACCTCCAACTCCAACTGTGGATACCTGCTTCTCTTCACTAAAGCAGACTAAAGCAGACTTCTCTGAGATGACTTCTCCTTTCCTCTTCCCAAAGGTGGCTCTAGGGACCATGGGGTTGATGGATGTGGAAGCCCCTCCCTGTGCCTTCTTTTCACTGTGAGGGGCCACGTGGCCTTGGACACTGGATTGGTCTCCTGTTCTAATCTTGTGTGGTATCCTCTTAGGACGATCCTGCTCAAGAATCTCTCCTCTCTGCTGTGACCCAGTTTCTGTTTTTAGCTGGGATAGCCTGAATGGAATCAAGGCACCTCAGGTCCCAGTTGTTCTTCTACAAAGGTGAGGGACTTTCCATTTCTGGGCCTGTGATATCACCTGAGGGACAGGGTTCATGGGAAGGGGGAAGACTCCAGGTTAGGGTGGCTTACAATTAAAGCTCTTGGAGGAGGTAACAAGAGCTTTCTGAAGTTGGGGAAATGGTGGAGGGGCTGTGGGCCATAAATGCCCACCACTTCCCATCCTGCCTAGCCTCCTTGCCCAGTCTGCTGCTGGTTAAAGCTTGTGCCTCCTGTTTCCTGCAGCCACGTACAGGAGTTCTGTGACAAGGGAAGACTTCAGCAACACTCAAATGGAGCCATCTTAGGTGAGGAGTTCAAACCAGGGCCTGCCAGAGTCCACCGGCCATACAGGCACTTCATGGAAGATCCATCTCCTAACGCCATGTGCCTGCTGGCTTCCCTGGCTCCTGGGACCCAGAACCTTCTGCCTCTGGCTTCATCCCTATTAGCAGGACCTCACAAAGACTTGATGAGATTCCTGCTGGGCCCCAGCCCAAGGAGTTCCTGTCTTGGACAACTTGATAACTGTTACTTACCATCTCTCATCAGGGCCATCTCTGGCCCTGATCACTATCAATCTTTTATTTTGTTCTTCTCCTGGTCATGTACAACTACTAACACCTTATTTATCTTCACTTGGGCACATGGCCAAGTCCAGCAAGGACATTATTCATATAGTCCACCAGATCCCTGCCACTGGCAAGGAGAGCATAGGGGCCTCTGTTTCAACCAGGCCAATGTTAACAGCTTCCTATTGATAACGGTCATTTACAAACTGAAAATAATAACTAGTGAGTCTAGGCTGCCCCCTGGAATTTCTGGGTGTCATGTTCAAGTGCAAGGCGTGCAAGGCATCATGGCACAGCCCTTCTGGAACACACAAGGTCAATCAGAGTTGCTTCTAAGATCTCAGCAGCTCTCTTACTGCACGGTCTCGGGGGATAATTTAGACCATCGATGCAACCAGCTCTCCTGGAACCTGATATGTCTGTATAGGGAGTCCTTGGTGACTACTACCTATATCTCTAACAGGCCTTCTCTACTACATCAATTTATCAAATTTCATGGGTTTAATACCCAATTCCTGCTACAATTTCTAGCTGAAGGACCTCCACAGCTTTCTCAGACTGCAGCCTTCTCAGAGTATGACTTCAGTGTGAACCAACTCAGATTTTTGACACAAAATAAGTCTCCATCTCTGCCTCAGGGCCAGACTCGGGCCCTAATTCACTATGACTTCAGTGTGAACCAGCTCAGATTTTTGACACAAAATAAGTCCCCATCTCTGCCTCAGGGACAGACTCGGGCCCTAATCCACTATGACCTCAATGTGAGCCAACTCCAATTTTTGATGCAAAATATGTGTCCATCTCTGCCTCAGGGCCAGACTCGGGCCCTAATTCACTATGACTTCAATGCAAACAAACTCCGATTTTTGACACAAAATAAGTCACCATCTCTGTCTCAGGACTGTACTCAGGCCCTAATCCACTATGACTTCAATGTGAACCAACTCCGA